AGTGCCCATGACGGCCATGCGCACCATCACGAGGCCACAAGCTCCAGGCCTCCACCACCACTGCACCCACCGCATTGTCAAGCGAGGGACCCAAGCGAAAAGGCCCAATCGCGAGGGACGCGGCCAAGCCGCGCTCAAGGAAGGCGTCCTCCTCTGGAGTACACTGCAAACGCACCCCAGAGAAGGCCCCCCGGCGCCAGGCCAGGCCCGCATAAGCACCCAACCGGGGCTCCCACTTACCTGAAAAGGCAAGTGGAGAAGTGTACCAAAAGGTCCTGAACCGTGGCAGCGCGGCCATCCGGGCACGGCAGGACCACAGGGTAGCGCCTCCACACCACCAACGCAACTGCTAGGCCGTCCTCAGCGAGCCGCCATACTGCACCATGTAGAAAGCTGCACCATGCCTCCCACGACGCACCCATAGTCCAGTCACCAGGTTTCCCCGGCGGGGGAAATGCAACACAGAAACGCGGAGGGCCATGGCATGGGGCCGGAAGAGGCTCAGGGGGGGCTTCAGCTACAGGGCACAGGGCTTCACCAGGGTCAGGGGCAGGCACAGGGGTGCGCGGCAGGGCAAGGAAAAGACGCTGCAACCACAGGTGACGGCGGAAGGTGGCGAAGAAGAGGGCATCCAGACGCCTGGCAGGGGCGGCCAAGGAAGCGCGGGCTGCAGCCTTGGCGGCAAGGTCAGCCGCGTGATTGCATCGGGCATGCAGAGCCTCAATCGGGTGTGAGGCAGCCGACACCACCACATGACCACAAGACCTGCCAAAGATCAGCAGCAGCAAGGTGCGGCGCGACCCCGCCAGACCTACTAATGGCAGGCCACGCCTGGACGGCAGCCTGGGAGTCAGTATGCACCATCAAGTGGCCACGAGCATGCATGGCCGCACGGACTATGGCGTAAACCTCCGCACGGTAGTTGTCCGCAAAGACACCCGGGACCGAGCCAGAGTCAACCGTGGCACACGAACTCCACACAATGGTGAAACCAGCCGCCGCAAGGAAGGGATGCTGGGGTAAGTAGACACTGCCATCAGTCCAAAGGTGAGTAGTGTGCCGAGGCCCGTAGCGTGGAAAAGGGGAGGTAGTAGGCCAAGGCTGGGCAGCACAGAAAGCTGACCTAAGGTCCGCAGGCACCTCCAGAAGACCATGGGTAGCAAAGGCAGGCCCTTGATCAGGGACAAGAGGCGGGGGGGGGCCTGGGAGCCAGGCAGGGCCTGACACCCAACAAGGTGACCAAGGGTCTCCTGCTCCCGACCACAGTACCGACAAAGAGAGCCACCGGACAACCCAGAAGCATGGAGCCTGTCCGCAGTGACAGCCGAACCAACGACGACCGCCGGAGCAACGGCCTTCCTGGAAGGAAAAAGCCGAGCAAAGGAAGTCCACCGAGGACAGGGAGGAACACGCCAAGGTTGTTCGAGAGAGAGCGACGTCCAGGAGGCCCGTGGGGCATGGGCAATGTCAGCACGCTTGCCACGGCAGGCCCGCATGTAGGCATGCTGGGGTATGGTCCACTGGAGCAAGCGCTTGAGCGAGCGCAGGGACATGCCAAAGAGCGAAAGCCAGGGGCCATGATCGAACGCAACCGAGGCAGGGCCTGGAAGCGGAGACCGCAAGCAGTGACAGCCGACAAGAAAGCCGCCACAAGGGTAGAGGGAAGCAGGCGCTGATTAGTGAAGGCAAGCCTCCACTTGATGCTAACTAAAGACCTCCGAGCGTTGAAGATGGGCCACAACATTGAGAGTGGTGCGGTATGGCAGGGCATATTCAGGATGAACCAAGTGATCCGGATGGACAACAGCAAGCAGCAGTTCCCGGGACCTCCACGTGGGCCGACCATCCCAGAGGACAGAAGCGACCTCCGAAGCAAGGGCAGAGAGGACACGCTTAGGCACAAAGTTGAGCTCAGCCGCGTACGACAGCATGGGCATGGCCTTCCGAGCAATGAAGGAAGCCTTAGAGGCAGCCGAGAGCGGGAGGCTCCGTATGGCACGGAGCGCCCGCCGAAAGCTCGTAACTGCCGGAGCACGAGCATCACGAGTGCCGCGGAGATCCAGATTGATTGTGACACCCAAGGGTCGCAGGGCCTTCAGGCGGGGGGCCTGGGGCAAGGCAGGCTCAAGCTCAGCCACGCATGCATCCTGGGTGGCCCACCAACCTGACTTGTGGAGGTTGAACTGCTGGCCCGCCAGGGCATCGAACAAAGAGGTAGCACGGACCGCCTGCACCAGGTTGGGCACTGCCTCCAAGGTGGTCACCGTCATATACCCATCGTCAACGAAAACCCTAGGTGTGACACCTGGGAAGTGACGAATGAGGAGCGACCAAGCCGTCATCAGAACATTGGCCGCAAGCACAGAGAGGGAACACCCTTGGGCAATGCCATTGCTGTTGGCCAGAGGTGCGGGGTGAACAGCGCCATGCCACGACAGAAAACGGCGAAAGCCATCGTAGTTGCACACCAGGCACGGGCCACCGCAACCGGGAATCCCAAGGCAGTGAGAAGCGCCACAATTTGCCTAGGCAGGAGGCGATCAAAGCACTTGGAGCGATCAACCTGGATGCCAGCAAAAGGAGCATCAGTGGCACGCGCCTCATGAAAATCAAGGGCCATGTGGTGAGTGATATCCTCAACACGGCGGCCAGGAACACCACCAACAACCTCTGGCGGTAAGACAGTGCGTTGCCACTCAGTGGAGGCCCGGAAACGCGCCGAAGACCACGCCAGGTAGCAGATATGAAGGACCGCTATGAGCCTCTTGGCCAGGGGCGCGGGGCCAGCACCCTTATCCAGCACCGCCAGCCGAGCGGTGCCGAAGATGCGTGGCATGGACCACCGGCCTGACTCGACCTGTTGAAGAAGGTAGGCCAGAAGCCGGTATACCGGGACAGGCAGGGCGCGGAGCTCGACAGCTCTCCAACCATCCAAGCCAGCGGACGAATCAGGGCTCCGGCGAGCGACTGACGCAGCAAGGTCGACCAGAGGGGAGGCACGCTGCTCAAGGAGATGCTGAACAGGACGCATGAGAGGATCAACCGGAAAGTCATCCGCATGCACATCAAACACGGTGTTCCATTGGTCCGCAGCATGTGCCAGGGCCACAGCAGGATGGTACGCAGGGACACCGTCAGGGCCAGCAAGTGAGTTGGAGTGAGCAGCCTGAGTGGCACTGCGCAGGTGCGCAAAGACCTCCTTGCCAGAGTGCAACGCCGAGTGGCGGAGGCGCTCCCTCCAGCGCGCAACCGCAGCCCGCTGCCGCGACAGGTGGGCATCACGGAGAGCGGCCTCAACTCTCTCGCAAAGAGGGGCAACACCCCCCGGGTACCCTTTTTTCTGTACTCTATTTTAGTAGGGGAACCCTCCCCCAAAAAAGAAACGGTAAAAGGGCACCTAGCTGGGGGAGCTAGATGTCCGTCCAAGCCCCAAAAGTCCGACTGAAGCTTCACTCCGTCCGAGTTCCGGAGATCCGGATCGCCTGGAAGTCAGTATAGCTGGACCGGACGCTCAGCCCGATGTAGCGGTCCGGATGCAGCGCCTCAGCACCCCGAAGGAGCTGCTAAGGGCGGCGGGGAGGGGGGGGGGGGCAATAGGGTTGACCCCATAGAAAAATCAACCAACCACTTTATTCATAGGGGGGTGGGGGGCAACAAACTGGTTGGTGGATTCATATGATCGCTGGTGCAGCCTGTTCAAACAAAAATGGGGGTCCTGTTCCGAAGGTGTCGTTTCACCACGGCAGACCTCCACTTTTGTCTTTTTTTCCGCCAGGAAACAATATGAAATCTGTCCAGTGGCGGATTCCTTTCAACACCAAAGAGGAAGCTCGAGAGACCTGGCTGCGAGTGAGGGCCCCAGGGCCATGAGCTGAAGCCCCAGCCAGGCCCGTAGACATGGCGTCCACCACCGCCTTGCCGCCTGGCGACGGCATGGGATGTAAGCGAAACTTCTTCAACCCAACGGCATGGTAGCAAAAACTTTGGTTGGTATGTGTTTGTTTTGTTCTTGCTTTTAGCTTGCCAGAACTTTGTTTTGTGGTATGGTCAGTTGTGTGGTTCTGTATGGTTGTTTCGCAGCGCAGCCTTCCCAAACCAACAGAACCACAGAACAAACAATATATAAAAACTGACTGTGTTTTGCAGCCCCGCACCAAACATGCCCAGGCGTTCGACGTCGCAAGCTCTAAGACTCTAAGATGGACACCGCACTACACCCAAACCACCCCCTGGTGGTTAAATGGGATTACAACCCAAACGGTCTGGGCTTGCAAGCAAATCTTTGCAGGCAGTGAACCTAAAAATGAACAACACCAAACACAAACAAAACACTTGCCAAGAACAGCGAAGACAATCAAACAAACACATTTGGACACCAATTGTCCGGTTGAAAAACAATCGGGGAGCGCCCATTCTTGATGCTTTGGCCGGGTAACAAAGGCTTCCCCTCCTACAACAGAAGCGTTCTTCCAGTTTTTCAGGTACCCCGCACTCCCCCCCCTCCCCCCCCCCCCCCTGGCGCTTTTTGGGTGGAGCAATTTTAGCAATAGGGAAACTCGCGCGGGTGCCGGATAAGCAAAACTCCGCCACAAAACTCCGCCACAAAGCGCCGCTTAAAGACACGGCAGGCAGGCATGGCGAGTCACCCGGGGTATTGGCACACTGCAGCCTCAGCGAATCACCGACGCGCAGAAATTCTTCGGAAGCTCAAGCCAGGCAACTGTCATAAGTTCGCTACGGCCCAGTGATCAGCCCCCACGGATCTCCCCCTCGCAATTCTCGCAACCACCTCTGTATCCCGCCGACCATGGTCAGTAGGCCTTCCATAACATGAGAAAGCCATGGATGGGACGAAATCCTTCACCAGTTGTACGTGCTTTATCATAGGCTGTCATCCATCACAACTGGCGCATTTCGTGGATTTTTCTCCATTGTCTCCGCGCGCTTTTCGCAAATCTCTGCCCGGAGCGCTGCCACCAGCGAAGGCCTCTTGGCCTTGGTCAGTGCCTCAGTTGTAAGACCCCCTTTTAGGAAAACAAGTGTTGGTCAGCCCTTATTCTTACACAATGTTCCTCATTAAGCAAATGGTCAACTTAGAAATCAGTCCCTTTTAGGTTTCTGCCTGGATCCAATTGTGAACTGGTGGCTCAAACTCGCGAGAAGGCTGAACTGAGTCGACTTCTTGCGCGATCAAGGTAGGTGACAAGGCTTTTGATTCATTTCTGTGCATATGTGCCTACCAGTCTTATCGAAGTGGAGTGTCTAGGCCTGGGCGTCCTTTTGGTGAAATGGCACCAAATACTGCCAGAGCGGTTCCGGCGCCCCATCTATGTTCCAGCTGACCTACGGACATTTGGGTGTGCTTTTTGAGGGTGCCCTTGGGGTTGTTTTGTTCTTTCTTTTTTTCGGGAAGCAAAAGAACACCACCTCCTATTTTGACACATGGGGGTTGATCAATATTTCTGGCCCTAAATGACCATGAGAAACTGTTCTCACTTCGAGGGACATATCATCTTTTTAGTTGTTCTTCCCAATGGTCATCCAATGTAAAGGACTTTTTGATCAACCCCCACATACCCATCTGGCCATGGGTCAAAACCCAAATCGTGCCCCCAGTGAACATCAACCAATCCAACCACTAAAATAGGTTCTAACATGGGTGGTGAATTCACCTACCCCAAAATGGGATCCCATTGGTTTTGCCCCACAGCCATCTGATCCAGTACTAAATTGGCCGAGGAGACAGCCGCGGCCGCTTTCGGGGTGGCTCCGGGTTCTCTTTCATGTCGAGCCAGCGCTCGCCGAGCATGAACTTCAAGCCCGCAGTCTGGGGATGGCGCACAAAGAGCACACCCACTTTTCATTTTTGTTCTACAATGTTGGTATGGCTAAAACTTTACGTCTTCGCACCTGCAACACAAATGCCTGAAGTTTGGGGGGTGACCTTGTATGACGCTGTAGGACCAGGGGTCTGGACAAGCACTCTAGCCTCACAATTCTCCTCGCAAAGCGCTTCCACCACCGCTCGCGCTTTCTCTGGGAAGATGGCGAAGGCGTTGTCCCCATCGATTCGCTTCACCTCAAACTCGGCGGAGTCGGAGGCGGAGTGCGGCAGCTCCTTGATCTTGGACTGGAGCAGCTCCTGCGCGCATCGCGAACCCCTCGCTCTTTTCCGGGGGCGGCTTCCATGTGCATTCTTTCCAGGATCCGATGCTTTTCACCAAAATCTCGGGGGAAACAGTTTGCTGGTTTTTGAACAGAACGATGGTTAAGAAGCATGGATATCCACGCCTTGATCTTTGTTGTGGGTGTTCAAAATGGGGGGATCCGGAATCCTAATCCGCAGTGGGGCAGTACTACAAGTGGGGCTACCATCCAGTAAGGATTTTTGGTGTTTCTGGTCTTCCCCTAAAAGGGACATTGGAACCAAACATGGAATGAATTTCAGGGGTCTACCCCCCCCCCCCCGGCAATTCCATAGTTGCCGGAGTGGGTATGGGTCGGCGTGAGGGTTGCGTGTTTCAGGATTGTTGGCCTGAGGGTTACTTCAAGGGTCTTGCTTCACCTCCACACAGGGTCTTCTCAAAAGAAACTCCTGGGGCCAAAGTCACCAAGACATCCCCAGCATGAGGTTGCGAGGCTTGTGCGGGTGCATAAGCTCCGTCGAAGGGATTTGGGGCTGATTTCCCAGTGCATCGGCAACCCCTGGTCACCTGGAAATAAAGGGTGATCACCTTTTGGGGGCATGACTAAATACGAACCAACATGGGAACACAAACAGGTCAACAGGTTGGCTTTGAGCAACTGAGTTGCTTGGCTGCGCAGGCTTTGGGCTTGGGCTTGGGTTCGGTGAGAGGTCAGCATCAGCATGCCAGGGGCTGATGTGCTACTGGCTGTGCTGACTTGCTGCTGAAGATATGACAGCGGCTGAGCCTGCTAGAAGAAGCTTGTTTGCATAGGCAGATAGATGGCCCTGGTAGATGATTAAACCAGCAGGTAAACCAGGGCCATCTATTTTTCGACCAAAACAACCAAAAAGGACACCTATGCTTGTTTGTCTCAATTCTTGAGTGGATTGGCCAAAGTCCGAACTTTCTGGTTACCACTAAATTGGTCCAGACCCCAAAATGTGACTGAAGTCCAGGAACTCAGGAAGTGTGCTGTTTGGGCCCCAGACTGACATGACAAGGAAGCCTGCAACCAAAAGCTTTAAGTTTTGGCAAACTGAACAGGTGAGCCGGAAACCTGATGACAATCGCTGGTTGGTGTGTTCTGAACAACTGTGGTTTATCACCAAACACTCTTTTGGTGTGGATGTTTGGCCAGTCCACTAAGGAAGTGTGTTTTGTCTCACCGTCCTGAAGCAAATCCGCCCTTTGATCTTGTCATATTTTTTAGGTTGACCAATGATCAATCTTGAACTTCCAGTTTGAGCAGTTGTCCCGGATCCATGTTGAGTCAAGAATGCGAGTGATAATATCCTTCTATAGAAGGATGCGGAACCGCTGTGCAGATCTAGGATCTTGATTCATCAATATTTTGGCAGGCTTTCTGCGGCCGGTTCCCGTTGTATAGGAGGGGACTTCAGGACTGCCTTTTGAGTTTCCCTGTCAAACATGGTGGAAGTGGGGAGTAGGTAGGGTCCTTTAAACTTTAGGCGGGCCAGAAGGAGTCCCATTTGAGTGGCGTTTGTTTTTTCTCCACAAGTGCCACACGGCAGCCGTGGAAGGTTCGCGGAAGGGACGTGCTGCTTTCGCGGTTCTCGCCAAGCAACGTAAGTTGGCTTCAAAACGGTCTGCAACCAAAAGACCTTCGCAGCAACCTTCCACAAATTCTGGCGACTTGCGGCGCGGAAAGCGGGCCGAATATTGCATAGGCATATGGCCATGGGTCAAAAGCCAAATCGTACCCCCATTGAGCATCCCAATCCCCACTAAAATAAACTAAATGGGTGGTGAATTCACCTACCCCAAAATGGTAGCATTGGTTTTGCCCCACAGCCACTTGTTCAGTGCGTGCAGAAACTTGTTTTGCTCGGAATCCGGAGCGTGCCATTGCTTTCACAAATCTCTGCTTTTTGTTTCGGGTTTCTCAACATGCTGGACCCCCTGTTGCTTTAAACAACAGGAAGGCGCACATGTTTATTTGAGAACTCCCCAAAATGTCTAACCCCAAAATGCAAAAACATATTTGACTTGTTTCCATTTTTGGGGACTAACATGAAAACGCATCTTTGGCTGCCCATTTTTCAGTTCTTTGGGCCGTCCTGTAGGTCTGAAGCCTGGCTTTTGATGCCGGAGATGTGGAGATACGCCCCAGGGGTCACCAGCTCGTCGTCCCCGTGGATGTTCATGTGGAAAAAGTTCCGGAACAACACCAGCCGCCCGTTGAACCTCAAGCGGATGTGTCCCGTTCTTTTGAGGCGAAAGGTAGGTGCGGGTCCCTCTTTAAGGTGGCTGTAAAGGAAAACAAGAGAAACCACCGTCAATTTTGAGGGCTCCTCTTTGAGACAAGGGATGCGACTCCCTCTCTCGCATATAACTGTTTCTCAAAGTCGGCTGGGTTGTTCCAAGCCTCGAGCAAAAGGTCGATCACCGTGGATTTGTTAAGCCGAATCTGATTCCAAAAGGTCCTTCTGGCTTGGGGCAATTCGGCCACAAAGACGGGCTTGGTGAAATCAAGAAGTGACGTTCTGAAAATTTCTCACGCCAAAGACGGGCTTGGTCCCATCAAGAAGTTAACATTTTCGACATTTCTCAAAATGACCTATGAGTCGTTGCCCTGCTTGATTTCCCCGGATTGAAGTAGAACCGAGGACCCCAAATCTCACCTACCCGGAGCTAGTTGCAACCAGCCTTCCGGTCGAAATTTCGGAAAGCTGCAGCCCTGTCCGAGAAAACTCGCATCTTTTGGAACCCGAGGGCTACAGGTTCTGGCACTCGAGCGTATCAATGATCATTCCGGTGGCCCCAGGAGCCCAGGAGGGAGGGAGGGAGGGAGGGAGGGAGGGAGGGAGGGAGGGAGGGAGGGAGGGAGGGAGGGAGGGAGGGAGGGGGAGGGGGAGGAGGGAGGGAGGGAGGGAGGGAGGGAGGGAGGGAGGGAGGGAGGGAGGGAGCCCCTCAACCAAAAGCGAAAAAGATTCCTGGGCTCCCGCATCCCGAATGGACCGGTTTGTCTGGCTCTAAGATGTAATCATGTGTCAGTGCCAGCTAGTTGTTCAGGACATCTGCGGGCAGGTTTGCCATGCTTTTGAGGTGGATCCCTGGCGAGTGGTCAGAACATGAAATTTGCCTTGCCTTCAGCACTGTTCCAGTCACAAGGCTGCAAGTTCTGCCGTTGAAGCAGGCGCTTGACTTGGCTGGAATTCGAAACTCCAGCATCTTATTTTTGGCCTGGTGAGTGGAAAACAAAGGGATCCCAAAAAAGCAAAAACACCAAAAAGGGGAGCGAATTCTGGGGAAGCTGAGCCTGTGCCAAAAACCGTCGATCAAATGGGTTGAGCGGAGGCAGCCCTGAGAACCTCCAACGTTTGATCAGCGGAACCTCTGCGGAAACCCCTTGAAATTCCAAGCAGTTAAAGTCTAAAGATCCAACCCAATAGCAATCCAAATAGCTTGCCCATCCAGAAATGGAAGCCCTCAGCCCCATAGGTGACCTTGTAAGGAAGAATCGATGGGTTTTTCCTGGTAAAGGAGGGGACAAACCAACCTAAACCAACCAACCTAAACCTGTGGAACCCATCTATTTCCAACCAAACTACTCACTTCCGATTGAGTGGATTGGCCAAAGCAGTACCACCAAATGGTCCAGACCCAAACAGTTTAGTCCATGGATTATGGACTTAGCAAGGGAGAGCAGCTGGAAGGAGGCTGCATCCAAAACCGAAGGCTTGCGTAAAGTCGCTTGTGTCAAAGAGCCAACCAAAAATTGGATAAGGATAAAACCTGGGGTTTATTTTTGGTTTCCCTTCAATTGAAACAGTCCCAAGAAGAAAATTCCTCCAACAAAAACTCAACGCACTCACAGCCCCAACGCCAACACTCGGTTGCAGTTGACCCCTCTGCAAAAAAGAGTCTTCAACTAGAGGGCCCAGTTCGGAAAAATCCATGCCAAACTCCCAACAAGTTAGAGCCCAAAGATCCGTTCCCAAGTCCCCATGATCCCCATGATGAAAAGAGAGCGAACAATAAAAAAAAACTCTTCGCATACGGTCAGGTGGTCCATCCCTTTTTTCAAGATCGCCAACCATGAAAAAAAACAGACACGAGCGAGAATAAAAAAGGCCCATCCCGCCCGCTTGTCGAAAGGAACCCCCCCAAAAAAAAAAACAAACAAACTCCGGGTGCGGGGCAAGGAGCTCCTCCCGGGCCTCGGCGTCCTTCAGGCCCGCCGTCTCCGCCATGTAGGCGAAGACGCAGCCGGTGACGAAGGCGTCGTAGCCCGCCTCGTGGAACCGGGCGGAGGATCCGTAGCCTTGGTGGCCCTCCGCGAGGACCTCAGAGCGGAATCCCCGGCCCGCTTAAGCAAAACATAGGTGGCCAAGCCACGGGTCGCCAAAAACGTAGGTGACACCTTTGGCAAAGCAGTTTTTCCCCGGGTAAATGGGGCATACAACCCGTCCAACATCTCTACTCCTGGTATGGGCTGGCAAAAAGCTGAAACGGCTTTTTGCAGACCCAGTGAAAATGAACAGAAACAAAAACTAAGAAACCAAACAAAAAATGCCAAGAACAGTGAAGGAGAGACATGCAGCCAACTCTCTGATACGTCCATTTGGTTTTTGGACCCCTGGAAAAAAAACATATGTCCAGTAGTGATAGATTCCCTTTCAAACCAGCAGGGGGAAAAACACACATATTCTTCAGCACATGGAAGGATATCAAAACGGTGGCTGTATATAGTAGTTGTATATTTCTATTGAACCCCTGGAGGGGGAGTTGTTTGGGGGGAATGGGCACCCTCTTGGAGAGTTACGCCCTGTTCTTGTAAATGCAAATGCACATGTTTGTTCATTTAGTTTACTTGTTATTATTACTACTAATATTCTGTTTTGATGCTCGCAATGCTAGCAATCCCCCCTTCAAAAAAAACAAAACAAAAAGGAATTCTGCTCAAGCAGTACAACCTTAAAATTGGCGACGCTGACTCAACTCAGACCGTCACCGAGACCGAGCCCAGCCCCTTTGCCCACTAAAAAGGCACATGACTGGCGGCACTGCTGAAGGGGGGGGGGGCTAAAAAAGCAGACCCAACACTATATATACATTATATATATTATATATGCGCAATTTAATATGCCTATTGCCCAGAAGACTACCACGAGAAATCCAGCGGGGATCATTAAACATTGAGAGCCGCCTGACAGGCAGAAGATGGCGGCACAGGTAACTTTGCCAGTTGGCCGCCAAATATATACATTGCGATAATGCGTGATTCGGGGTTTCAGGAAAAGTATGGGTTTTGAAAAGAACAGTGGTTGAAAGTCGGAATCAATCCCGTTTCGTGCTTGTTTTACCCCCACCCCCCCCGCCAGCTCGCAACAAATGAGGCACACATATGGTCCTAAAAGATATGCAGATGGCGCGATTGTTTTCTTTGGTTTCCTTGAAGAATGCACTTTGGGCATGTTGAATACCACCTTTGCCTTTCTGAACATGCCAGCTGGTTTTAGGCGTATCCTCTAAGGAACCTGAAAAAGGGCCCCTCATAGACAAGCCTGACCCCCTTCAGCTGACGGCACTATCTCCACAGTCTCGGCTTCGGTCTTGGCTTCATTTTCCTCACCCATCCAATCCGAACGAGCGTTCGCCGTGTCGAAAGCGACACGAAGGCGACCCAAACGGACAACATAAGAACATACAAGGTTCCTTGACCACACTTAGACTCCCTTTAAAAGTGAACTCTTTGGTGGTCTGAAAGCGAAAATGAACCAACATGAATCAAGCCCAAAGGAGTTTAAGCTTCAAGCCGCTCTCTTTCGTCTGGCAAATGAGTTGTGTCTAGCGGGACCTGGCCTGCTTCAGAACTGCGTGCACTTGGCCCAGCGCGTAGCTGTGGAAGCGCTGCCCATTTTTCGGCTTCAACAGGCGGCTCTTTGCCAGCAGCTGGGTGTCAAAGAGAGTGGGGAAGAGGTCCCGCACAGAGGCCTTGAACTCATCGTAGGAGTCTGGTAATGGCCTTGGCTGGAGAGAAATTGGATTTGAAGGAATCCATGGGTTTCCCTGGTACATGGGGCATAAACCCCATCCAAACCAGTGGAAGCCATCTATTTCCAACCAAACTCAGCTATCAAAAGGACACCATTGGCCAGCAAACAAGTTCGAACTGGGTTACAGTGGTCTGAGGGGCCTAACCCCTGAACCCAACCGCCCGACTCAAAAGGGCACGAGGCCAACCACTGCACCACTGCAAAGCGCTGCAAAATGCTAAAATGCAAACACAGGCTGCCGCAACCCTAGCTCGCGAGGCGGCGCGCGGCGCAAACCAGGCCCAGTTTGTTTTTTCTATGTCTTTCAACCTTGGGTTCTTCCAAGCCCCGCCAAAAGGTCGAGTCGATCACTTTTGGTAGGTCCCATGGTTGTTCTATTCTTTGCAGCTCCTCTTCTTCTTTTTTCCGGGGCGAATCCAGCGAAGAGTGCCGCCGAACTCTTGGGCAGAGCGGCCCCTCGAAGTGGGAGAGCGCAAAGAGGAGGTCGAAGATCCTTGCCAAGATCCGGAAAATCGGACCGACCAAACCTTCGTGCGAAGCCAACGGGTCCTGGACCCCCCCAAAAATCGCACGAGAAAAACAACAAAGGGGACCCCCCCCCCAAAAAAAAAGACCGCGAACACACATATACAGAACAAAAACGCAAAACAAATTGACAAGGGAAGCGAAACATCCCAGGATCAAGGCATGGCCCACCAAAGGTTTCTTCGAGCTGGCCAGGGCCAAAAACACCCGCCGTAGGCCCAGCTTTCGGGCCAAGTCCGTCTCTTGCTCCGAGCGCTGCTGCAGCTCCCTTGCCCGCTTTTCTGCGTCGTCGAGCCTAGGGGTTTTGTGCAGCTGGGATATTTTTTGGGGGGGATGAACCAATCTAGGGGTTGATTCCAACCTTTCTCTTCAACCATCTTTCTTCTCAAAAACCAGCTGTTTCGCCAGGGTGTTTGATCCTGGGAAAGAATGGGGAAGGTACCCCCAGAACCAAGGTCTCCCCCTATGAAACTAGGGATGAGTTTATAGGGGTTTACTAGGAACCAGCAGGAAACGGAGCCTCTCTGCGCTACGTGGGGATGGCTGAACCCTTGCCAAAAGCCAAACTTTCATGGGAGACACCCTTCTGTCCACGTCCAGGGTAACCCACCAGAGGGTCCCTTTGAAATTGTCTTCCTGTCAGGTTCTTTGTCTGCGGAGAGGAGGGTATGCCATCACCATCTCTAAACTTAACAAATGTCTCAGCAACCGACCGGATGGTTATGAACCGCCAAAATGCGTGTGACGTCATTTGGGTGTGGCTCAAAATTGAACAGCTGGGGCAAACCGCAGGTTTTAGTCTACCTTTCCATTTAAAACTGGGGTCCATTTTTGGACCCCCCATTTTTTGAGCCACACCAATTTTAACATGACCCTACGCGAACACGCTCGGCCGGGAGTTCCATGCGCCTCAGTGCCACCATCGTCTTGAGACCCGGGCTCTTGGTGACCCGACTCTCGACAGTTAGACCTGGGAAGCTTTCCTCCAGGCTCTGGTAGATGAACTTCCGCAAAAAGCCGTTCCTGGGCTCAGCCGCCCCAGGAAAGAGACCCACACAAAAACCAGGTGATCACATGCTTTGGCTCCGTGAGAGAGGGAGTAAACCTGGACCAAGGGAAACCGACAGGTTAAGTCGGGCCAAAGAAAGGCTCTTGGGTGGTTTCTTCTTGGGGGGAAAATGAAGGCAGCCCAGGGAGGGATTCAAACAACCGGTGAGTGCTGGAGTGCAGCCGAAAATTCGTGGTCACCATCTCAAACTCCTTCTCCTCCGTGCGGCTCTCGTCTGCGAGCCACTTGTTCAGCTCCTCTAAGGCCTTGCTCGTGATCTCTTTGTCACGGGCATTCGATAAAACCTCGGTTGCTTTCTGCGGAGCCCTGCTAGAAGTTTGACTCACTTTTTGTGGTTTGATACAGAAAACCAATTTGGCAAAAGTGCAAGTCCTAACATCCCTTGGCAAAATGCAACAAAGAAACGACGCCTTGCGGCTGGTTTGGCTGAGTTTGCGATGACGGCTCCGCCTTGGCGTTGGGCAAAGCCGCCCGCAACTTCTCAGCCCCCTCCTTGTCCACATAAGGCACCCCCTCTCGAATCCATTTGTTCCAATCCTTGGTTGCTGTTGACCCCCCTGCAAAAAGTTTAGCTTTTTTGGGGTTTGGGAGGTTTGGTGGAAAACGCCGTGATTTTCCAAGAAAGTTGAAGTCTAAAGATCCAACCCAATAGCAGTCAAGAATCCACCCCGTTCTTGGAATTGAAGTGGATCGAGGTCGCCTCCATATTTATGAAGCCCTTCTCCGGAAAGACGTAGAAGTTGTACGCACGGGCCACGTACTTCTTTTCCGCATCCTGGCGGTCGCGTTCTGGCTTGCTGCCATGCTGTGACCTCAAATCCTCAGGTCTCCCTAACTTGTGGCCCGAGTAAAAACCACAGAATCGGAGCCCTCTTGGGGACTGGGGACCCTGCAACATCAACTCCTGACGTCTTCCGTCCGAAAAAGAAAACCATCCCGACATCAGCTTCTCAGTTGCACAGCGGCGATTCTTGGGGACGATTCCATTGGGGTTTCGGAAGCCACCAAGGCTTCCATTCGCCTAGGTCCACTGGAACAAATAAAACAAATTTCCAGTAGTGGTAGATTTAGATTCCATTTAAAAAACCAACAGGGTAAACTAACAAATATTCTTAAGCAAATGGAAGAAGGGATTTGATAGGGGTGAAATGCACTTTTCACCACCGGGACTCACTTACCGGTAGCTAGTGATAGACTCCCCTTAAACCAACAGGGGGGAGACATAAATTCAGCAAATGGAAGCCCACAGTTGGGTATGGGTACAACCACCAGGAATTGGACCGCAGGTCTTAGCCTTTGGTTCCATTCACCAGGGCAAGCCGTTTTAGGGTTACCGCATTTTCGACCCACCAGTTCCTTGCTGAACAAGGCCACGCCAAACTGAATGATGTTGAACCACGAGGCCACCGTCCTGCGGCGGGATGAAAAAAACAAAACCAAGCTTCCCAAGTCCATGGAGCAACCTTGCGGCAAATGGACATCCATTTCACGCCAAATTCGGGGGGTGCTTGTACATGCCCTGTTTACATAGCCCTTGGACAAATGAACCCAAAAGGCCTGCTGATGTTCATGCCCCTCTCCCGAAAAGGGGTTTATACCCCTTATAAAGTGGGTTGGAAACCACAAATGCCAAGGGCTATGAACAAGGTGTATGTACTTCCACCCTTAGACAAATCCTGAACGGGTGGATTCCTGATCGCTGCACTAGGGTTTACCCAGCGGGTTTCGGAATTTCGCGCAGTGGGTCCCAGCCACAAAAGGCGGCACAGCCTACATGTCTCCCGAATGTTGGTTGAAGCCATTCAGCCCCAGTTTGCAGTTCCAGGAATCCGACATCAATGGCATTGATGTTCAACGTTGTCTGTGCAGTTCCTTTTGGAAGTATGTGCTAACGAAAGGCAAACAGTCGGTGAATTACCTCACGCAGTGAAAAAGTTTGATAGCCAAGTTGGGTCGTCCAGGAACAAAGGCGTCCATCCTACACGTGAGGTTTCATGTCTGAGATCCACAGTGGACAGTCAGAACCCCCCAAATACGAACAACCCCACACATACAAAGTGCAGACAGCCTTCGACCTCATGGTAAGAATTATGATGATGACTTGCTGGTGCTGGGAATGACCATTCCGGGTGTTGGGAATGATCCGGACGGGGATTCCCTTGAAGGAAGCCAACTCGGGGATGGGTCATTCCATTTCTCATTCGCCAAGATGAACAAACATAGCCTGAGGACCTGGTCAGCCACCGGATTCAAGCCATTTGCAAATTGTGCAATTCGTTCATTTGCGATTTTATCCCTGGGAAAAAAACGATTTTTGTGCAGTAGTGATAGATCCCCTTGAAAAACCAGAAGGAAAAATTAAACAAATTCTTCAGAACATGAAAGAATACTTCCAACACCTGAAGCAAGGGACCCCCCAGTAGCGGAAGTTCATCATTGCGAGCTCCAACAAAGGCCCCCGATCTCAATAGGGGCCTGAGACAAATATGGCCACTGACCGTGGGAAACGCAGCCCCGCGAAGCGCCCAGCAAACCGGCCGACCCAAACCTCAGCGGCCCTGCAGCTCTAATGGGCGCCCGGATTTCGCAGATGTGGCAGTGGCTCAAAATTAAAGAGCCAGGGTTACGCAGCTTTTGGTCTACGTTTCCACTTGCCAGGGTTCCATTTTGGAATTCCGGTTTTTTGAGCCATACCCATGTGTGAAGGGAAGCCTTGTCCAAACAAAAGGAACCGGAAGCTAGCCGTTGGAGTTAGGTATCCCAATTCGCTCATGCGGCTTGGCCACAAGAAGCCAAAGATCTTTGTTTGCCACTACTCACTTCTTGCGCGGCATGGGCACAAAAACACCCAAACTTGTTATTCATTTGCCACACAAATGGTCTTCCCGAACATTGCCACACCCACATTTTACGCAGACTGGGCAACAAAGTCCCAACAACAATGTATTTACTCCACAGAACTGGTCTTCCCAAAATTTGACTCAAGTCCTGGACCTCAGGAACTGAGACTAGGATGGCCTCCCCAAACTCCAGGGAGTGACACATGGCCCGAAAGCCGCGTGTCCTCATCTTGGAGTAACGCTCCGCCGGAGTGTCTCCTCAGGCGGCCAAACAAGTTCGAACTTGTCGGACTAAACTCGGTCGCGAAATCTGCGAAGCCCTGCTAAAAGTGAATCACTTTTAGTGGTTAAATGGGGAAAGCCCATTAGTTGGCAAAAAGTGAAAATCCTAACATCCAAGCAACATGCACCAAAGTAAAGTGATGAGCCAAGACTTGCATCTTGTCGCATCTTGTCTCTTTTGTTCATTGGTTTGTGGTGCAGTGGCTCCGCCCTGCTTGCCCAGCCCTGAATGGATGTTTTCAAGTGCCAAGGAAATGCCCTGAGAGGTCTGCCCAAGAGGAAACGTTCCCTGATGGCCTCTCTTCAAAGTTCAGGGGCCGCTATCTTACCCTCCATTTGCTTTTTCGTCCCCCTGGAGAAAAAATGATATTTCCACTAGCGATAGATTCCCTTTAAAACCAACAGGGGCAAATCCGCCGACCTCTGCCTCCCGTCCCAGCCTCCTGCAGAGGGGACCGGCGTGGGATGCAACTGGAAGTGATTGGATATCAATGATAGTCCCTGATAACCACGCCCGAACGCACAAAAAGTGGATTCCCAGGACCGGTTCCGGGACCGGTCCCGGGACCGGTCCTGGGACCAGTCCTGGGACCAGTCCTGGGATCGGTCCTGGGACTGGTCCTGGGACCCTGGTTCTGCTGTTTCAGATTACTTGTAGTCAGCCAAAACCGGTCCTGGGCCGGACCGGTCCCAGGACCGGTCCCGGGACCAGTCCCAGGACCGGTCCTGGGACCAGTCCTGGACCGGTCCTGGGACTGGTCCCAGGACCAGTCCCAGGACCGGGGTTTGGTCCTGGGACTAGGACTAGTTCTAGGACCGGTGGTCCCAGACCAGTCCCAGCACTTTCGGGACTGCAGTCCTGGGACCGGTCCTGGGACCAGTCTGGGAAGCCGGTCCCGGGATCGTGTGACCGCTGGTACTTCAAATTGCTGTGGTGCGACCTCAAAAAGCTCCAGAAAACTTTCCGGACTGGCACCCAGGACCGACCAGTTGAGGGGGACCAACAGCCTTGTTTCTAGGACCAGCTCAACGTGACTTCGGCACAAACCGGCCCGTGTGGTTATTGACGGACGAGCTGTCATCTGTCTGACTTTTCCGTTAATCCTTGTGGTAGTAGAGGATCCCTGGATCTATTCTGCAAGAGAGTCCAATACGTCGAGTCAAACCGCGCCAGACTGGGGCCAGCCTGGATAGGGTCCCAAGTCCCGGTCCCTGCCGGCGACCGGTCCAGGGCCAGTTTCAGGGCGACCCCGGGAGAGGCGCCAACTCGAAGTGACTTGGGCGCAAGCCGGCCCAAGCGGTAATTAACGGACTAGCTGCCCTATTTCTGACTTTTCCGTTAATCCTTGTTTGTGGTCGTAGAGGATCTTCTAAGTGGTCCCCGGGTTTGCGGACGTGTTTCAGGACCGGTCCTTGTGACTTTTCCCTTAATGCGCCGAGGGTCGGCGGCAGCAGGCGGGAGCCTGGTTAATACAACATAGTCTTAACCAAATGGAAGTTACCATCTCAAGGTCAGCCCTTGTCTTTTGGCAGTTTGAGCTTCGGAGCCCAGATTTGACACGAGCAGCAAAGCGCAGTCACTCGTGGCTCCGCCATGATTGGTCCCAAAGGCTAATCCATGCCTTGCTACAAACGCCATAGTAGAAACACTACCTTGTTTAGCCTCTAGGAGTGTTGGGTGCTGCTTACATGAATGATGGAAGATTGGCGGAGTCCAGAAAGTTCCAACATCTTTTCAGGCGTGGATTCCGAGGGTCATGCCAGGTTGTATGCGCCTTTCAGCAGGGATATTCCCTTTAAGATAATATAAGGCCTCAGCTAGCTCAAAACTTGCCTATGTTGCAAATAATTCCTTTCATGGGTGTCATTTTTTGGCTTAACTGGTTTGAATGTTGATGGCACGCCGGCTCCACTTTGGTTCTTGTCAAGGGCACTTGCCGGATACCCAACCCCCCACAGGGAATAAGACTTGGTCTGAAAAACCCAAGCGCTTGTAGAGCAATGACTCAATGACTCCTAGGCTCCAAGGGGAAACTAAAGGAACCGGAACCCAATCACAAAAAACCATTTCCTTCACCCGCGATTCGCGAGTTCACGTGGGAAGAGAATAACAGCTCCCAATATACACATCTCCTGCCAAGCCCATCTTCTCTTTCTAGGGCTTGGGACACGAACCAAAGTGAAGCATGAAACGGTGAGTGACAGGAATAGCATGTAGAGATGAGTTAGACCGTGTGGCAGCATTATCATGGACAAGTTCTCGTTAACACGGTCAAGGGAGAGAGGCCATTCTTTTCCTTCTATCTCTATCACTTCTTTTCCTTTCTAACTCCTGTAAATCCCAGGAACGAAGTGAGAGATGAAAGAACGAATGGAGAGAAAGGGCCATTATCCTCATCCTTTCCCACTCGCTTCCCTCGTTCGTCTCTTCGTCATTCCTATGTCATTCCTAAGACTCTAGGATATTGGATAATGCATGACATGAAAGACTGAGGAAGGAGACGGCAGGAACCGAGTCAAGGCTTGTTTGTCTGTCATTTGGTTTCTCTTCTTACAAGCCTTTCTATCAGCTATTAATCTTTCATTTTCTATCATCTCATTTCCTCATCCTGTCGCTGCCAATGGTCAGCTCTTGGACAATGGATGAGGACACGAAGCAAGGAATGAGAGATGGAATGACGGCTGAGAGCCTTTTCTTTTAGCTATTACAACTTACGAAGTTAACGAACGAGAAGAACGAGAGAGGCAAGGCATTTTATATCTTTCTTTATCTCTCATCCCACTCTGTATCCTCGCTTCGCGGGTTGGAGACAGGAAGATGATAAAGGGAGCTGGAAGTCAAGGGTAAGAGGTAAAGAGAGTGATAAAAGAGAAATGCCTTCCATCTCCTCCTCGCTTCCCAGCTCCTCTTTCCCTTTCCCGTCCTTGACGGTGAGGAGGTGTAACGAAGGAAGCGACCAAATGCTGTCATTCCCTTTACCTCCGTTCGGTTCTTGTTTGTACCTCACGTCGTAATAATTCCTTTTCTTTTTTATTATTATTTATTTCTATAATTTCATATTTTATTAGTATTTACATGTGTTAGGATTCTTGTTTTTAGGGAAGTTCATGCCCTGTCTGGATAGGCCTCACGTAGGTCACAGCAAACGATAGAAGATGAGGGAGACCTACGTCCCATTCCTTAGTCATATCTTGTCTATTTGTATCCTTTATCATCCTCTGGTCACTCCCTTTATCCCGTGTACCAGTTCCTGAGATGAAAGGAAGGGAAATGTAATGACCAAAAGGAGCGAGAATAGTGCATGAGGAAGAGATGGAATGAAGTGTATTTGATGGAGTGTAATTCCCTTTTCCTTTATCTGTCATTGCTATCTTCTTCATCATGTTCTTTCTCTTCATATCTTCCTTCTTTTACGTTTATTATTTATCTTGGTTTTAATGTAATTCTTCTTTTCTTATTGTTCTTTTATTTGCATTCTTTTATTATTCTTTTTATATTTGTTTTCTTCTTTTGGAGTGTTGGGAAGCCCGCCGGCAGTTAATAAAGCCAAGGGATGGGAACCAACAGATGACAGGTAAGGAATAGGAAAGTAACTTATAAATCCTGGAAATCTTTACCTTGGATATCAGGTCCTTTCTGTAATGACGAGTCTTCTCTAAATGGCAATCCAGACCCTGAACTAGCTGCTCCCCACATAAAGCACCTACAATTCAAAGCTTTCACCATCTTTCACCTGTGGGAAACCCCCCAACCAGAAAGCTCGAAACACATCAACTCGGCAGATCTTTTGGCTCGGAGCAAGTCCGTAAACATGGCTGTGGAACATATCACTTTGAAGGGCTTCCTTAGTATCCCATAAAGTTGCAACCTAAACTTCTCCGGTTTTCTAGCAGTTGCGATGAAACCCAAAGCTAAGGTGAAGCAGATTGAAGGAACCTCTGTTACGCTTTAAAGCTTAATGAGAACACAAATGTCTTCCCCAAAAGTTGAAGTCCAGGATCTCAGGAAGTGAGTAAATGACACGCGTGGTTTAAGTTCGACCCGGGTTTCTAAACCATGCCCAAAGTCGGCTGTCGGACTCCAAAAAAGGCGGTTGGACGGCCTGAAGTCGGCTGTCGGCCACCGAATGGATGGCTAGGAAGCCAGCTGCTCCAAACATGGCCCAAGTTCGGCGACCAAATGGCGGGGTGCCAAACTTGAAGAATTTCCTGGAACGTTTCTTTGCTGTCAGACTGCAACGACCCCTCTGCAAAAAGTGCTTCACTTCTTGCGGTTCCGAGAAATGAGTTACAGTCCAAAAATCCGTTACCAAAAAGTCATAACAATTTCCAGTTGCTTTTCCCTTTGGTCCCTCTTTACATCCCACAAAGGCACCCTCCAAAAAACGACCTCCGGTCTGTCGAGTCGCCCACCGCCTCCTGCACCCCCGGCAGGCCGATGCCGGTCATCTCCTCGTCGATGGCCACGAAGTCCACAGAGGGCAGCAGCGCCTGCGGATCCCATCGCTCGCAACCCAAACTCCTCACTTGCGATGGAGTGGAGTGGTCAAAAAACGGTCCGTAACCACACCTAGGCCCTCCAGTAGAGAGGTTAGAATAAGGGCACCTTTTTTTTTGGGGGTAGTCTACTTTAGTAGGGGAACCCTCCCCCAAAAAAGGTAAAAGGGCACCTAGCTGGGACCTGGACACGTGTTTGCCACTAAAACGGTCCAAGCGCAAAAGTGGACATCAAGTCCAAAACGAAACTCAGGGAGTGAGGAACCAGCACCCCCGCAACGACTGCCTTTCCCTGAGCCCGAGTGATGTCAAACAGCAGCTCTTGGGTGAGTTTTCGGACACCAAGCCAAAACCGCCGGCGCATTCCATGGGGAAAAACGAATCGGCACCGAATGGTTTTCCTTTTCGAACTATCGGACCCCCCTCCAATGGAAAAGGGGCACCACTTCTTGGTGTCTGGGTCGAACGATGGTGTAGCTATCGGGGGTCATTATATTTCACCCTTTAACATGCAAAAGTGTGGAGAAAACCTTCAAATTGGCCGTGGCACTACAGTTCCCGCAACATTTAGCGGAATATGTCTTTCAAACGGCCATGCCGCTCCCCCACACACAAAACTCAACTGCCCTCCGTTGACTTGCACTGGTCGAAAGGCAAACATCTCGTGGAGGCTGATCTAGATTTTCTTCCTGCACTGTTTTGGGGCAGGGGAAGGGTCCAATGTAATTATAGACAGTAAGGACTTATTGTTTGACACCCTGCAGCAGAAAAACAGTCTATCCTTTCTTGAGAGACTTCAATGAAGCACATGCCCTGCTCAACTCGCATGAGCTTGAGTGAGGTTTGTGCTGTTTTTATGTGAGCAATCTTCCGTCATACTGAGAGAACAAACATGATGCGGAAAGTTTGGTAGCCCGAACTGTCAGCACTGCAAGCACCGTGTTTAGGATGCCTGCATGTCTTGGGGGCGATGTTGGGGTGTGGATTTGAAGGTCGCGGCACCTGAATGACCAGAAACTTTGCACTTGAGATCAGCCGGCAGCTGAACAACGAAACTTGGCCAACCCTTGACCCTGGATGCGAATCGTTTCCCTCTTAGCCAGCGGAATCGTCGAAGGTGATCCCTTTTTGGGTTGGCGTGGAAGAACACTATATAAACACGTTCGTCGAACTTCCGGACACTGAACAACATTTGTCGGGACCCCGCACAAAAACAACATCCGCACCCGTCATCAGTTCTCGGGCAGCGTCGGTCTACTCAAACTCCGAACATAATCTTGAAAAGAGGCAGCTTCTTCATGTCCCCACCTTGGCTTTTAGAAGCAAACAGACCATCTTGGATTATCGACCATATTTAGTTGGCCTTGACATAAACAACATCACGCCTCGATCTCCCTGGCGACCTCATCGAAATTCTGCCGCGTGACGTCCATCGCAATTCAGCCAAGCTGACACGACCGACCATGGGCCGCCCCGTGTCAATAAGCTTCACGCTGGAATTCGACATGCCAGTGCTCCTTTTCATCTTGGCTTGAGTGGGGTGCGTGCCTGTTTGCTTCTTCTACTGACTTGGTTGCGCATGAACTCTCCGTGAAGCTCTCATCTACCTTCAGGTGCATCAGGTAGCAATGAGGCAGAATAACACATTTCATTAGTGTCCAAGATCTAAGTCCATTTCAAAGGTGACTTGGTTGCGCATGAACTCTCCGTGAAGCTCTCATCTACCTTCAGGTGCATCAGGTAGCAATGAGGCAGAATGACACATTTCATTAGTGTCCAAGATCTAAGTCCATTTCAAAGGTGGGCAAATCCACGAAACAGCGTCGCTTGAATCGACCTCCGTGCAGCTAAGTTTGAGCCTGCGCGTCATGGCTCCAAGCACGGCACGAAGCGGAACCATAGGCTTGGCGGCCCTTAACGCGCAAACGAGCAGCTTCTGGCAGTTCTATTTTTTGGGGGTTTGCGCCTCAGCACATCCGGCTTATCGGGCTGTTTTTTGGGCTGTCTTGTTTCTGCCTGAAGCTGCCTGAAATCCAAACCCGTTACGGCGAACCCCGTTAAGGGCTCTCTGTATAGGCGCCCGGCGTGGGCCGCAGTGCTGCCTTGCCGATTTTTCGCGGGACTCGATTTGTCAGCTCCGACTTGGTTGACGTTGGAAGGGGGCCCTTTGCTTGGTTGACGTTGGAAGGGGAGCAAAAATGTGGAATTTTAGCAGTTAAGTGGTTGGATTTCAACCACTAAACCACAATAAACAAAAAATATAGAATGTTTCCCAATAACAACCATGCCGAGGGTCAATTCCTGGTGTCTGTAACGGCCCCTCTGCAAACAACAAAAACACTTTTTGTGGATCCATGGGAAACATGACCTGCTTGCCAAAAAGCTAAAGTTCAAAGTTCCGTTAGCAAATTGCCATAAAGAAATGGTAAACATCATGGTTAACCAAATTGTCTGAGACCTTGGGCTGAAAAGTAAGACACCAGAAAGCAAACCTGTTCGCGGTCCAACCAGGTCTGACCTCGCTATATGGGCGGTGTGAAACTTGGTCATCGGCCACTGACAGTTCGGGCACCTGAGCTCAATCAAGCCTCGATAACTTCGAGGTGGTGAGGGCCTTTCCCATTGCAGACGTTCAACTTCCTCGTGGCTTCCCCCAAATGACTTGAGTTCACGGGAAGCCTGCAGTCTTGAAGCTGGGTAGGGCCCACCAGGGTCACAAGCCCCCTGGACTCATCGAGCAACGCTGGGGAGCGGGCGAACCAAATGACTAACTGCAGCACCATCATTTTTCTGCGCCTCAGAACAAAGGCTCAGGTGCAGGGTTCCACTTTTTAACTAAGGTAGACTTAAACCCAGTCCCTTTGGGGGAAATCAACCACCCCTGGCTTTAAGTTTACCTGTGTGCAGTCAAAAAGTGGAACCCTGCTCAGGTGTCTTTTGCGAGGCTACCATGATGAAAAGACGCATTTTTCGGATTCCATGCCTATGCTTACAGCACTCCTTCCCCTGATAGAAAACTGAGATATGCCCATCTCCTTGGCTCCCTTCCAACCACCAGTCAGATGTTTTGAGACAACCCCACACGTATTTGCATGTGCTGAGACAGCAAATGGAACCAAGGACTAAAACCTGCGGTCCCTGGTGCCTCCTTGTTTTTGACCCATACCCACACGTATTTCAATGAGTTCTCTTGAATGGTGCCACGCCGTCGCTTCGGAGACTAAGCCTGCTCACAGGAATCTTCGATTGCTGCGCCCACTAACTAAGATAGGTGCCGACCAAAAGCCAAACAGCTGCGGGTGTGGACGGCAAAGTGCTCTCCCTCTCCCTCTATTTTTATTCCTCTTTGTCTTTCGCGTATCTTTCTCTTTCTCTTTCTCTGTCTCTTTCTCTTTCTCTTTCTCTCTCTCTCTCTCGCCCCCTCTCTCTCCTCTTTCCTTCCTGACTTCCTTCCTTCCTTCCTTCCCTCCCTCCCTTTCCTTCCTTCCTTCCTTCCTTCCTTCCTTCCTTCCGCAAAGATCTTCTTGTCTCAAGGCCACGCTTCAAAACCGAGCGGGGGGGGACTTCCAACTGGTTCTCATTGCCCTTGGAACTGCCCCTTCTATCCTCACTTTAGATCGAATAGATTGGTCAAACAAATAGCCCAATCTGTTTATTTTCATTAAAATTGTCCAAAAGGTAAAAATGCTAAAGTCCAGGAATTCAGGAAGTGCGTATCGCACATTTCGGCCATTGATTCGCGAGCACTTTTTTGGACTCTGCCGTCACTGGCAAAGCCGAGCACGTGCGCGTTACACACAAGCTTCGCGCGTTACTTTGGACGTTGGTGCGTCATGTGCACCATGGCGACAACAACTCCGTGTTTGGTTCCATCTTCCGTCATTTCCCGGCTGCATAAATATCAGGATATATCAGGATCTTAATGATTGCTCAGCTTTTGCCCATAGTTACTTGAAGGGGTATTGTACTTAATAGCAAGTGGTTGTAACCCAGACCTGAAACAGAAGAATTATGTCTTCGTTGTTTCACCTCTACAAATGCGAATTCCACTTGATTGCCCCTCGACAGAACAACTCCATGGTAAATTCCAGATCCAGCGAAGCGACTCGATTTCTGCTTCGCTCGCGCTTAACCTCGATCGCCGGTCAGGGCTCAACTTGGATGATGGGCTGCTCTGCATCCAGGGCCCTCACCTGAGGCAAACGTAGGATCCTCTCAATTCCGACACACTGGCCAGAAAAAATCCTTGTGTACCACAAAAAAGTGGTGTTCCCCCAAAATTGACCCAAGCCCGAAACGGAACTCAGGTACTGAGTCCGTAAAGAATACATCCCCCAACCAGCTGCTGGATTCAGATCACACATCAGCCGGAAGTGGCCTTCACTGACCCGCATGATCTCTAGGATCCCAGAAAAAAAACTGGGCTAGTGGGTTAAATGGAAGCCACTAAGCCCTAAAAGGCTAAAAGGCTAAGGGGATGGCTGGGAACCCAGAAAACCCTCCAGATTTCCCCGCCAGTCCAAACCACGAAGCAACCAAGCCAAGGTCGGAAAGCTTGCGGTAGGGAAGGGCACCCGTGTTTCTTGTTCTTCTTCTTTTTCTTTCATTAAAACTAAGAGGGCTCAATTAATTACTTAGTGCTAAATTAAGAGTGCTTAATTCATTCAGAGGGCTGGGAAAGGCACGGCTTGCAGTACATGTCAAGCTGCGATTAGAGCGCGATCTCTTGCCGTGAAGTTCGATCCCAACCGCAAGACCGCTTCGAGACCGCTGGATTTTTTAATCTGTTGGTAGTTGTTGTTGTTTTGTTTCCCCGCGTTCGGCACTGTAATTATTCTGTTCCCTTGCTGATCCTGTTCCTTGCTGCATTCACCTGCTATGCTTTTACATTGCCACATGCTCAGGTGCATGTCACCTGCTCCTACCACTGAAGGTTTGCAATTAAACTTCCTATGCTGACACGTAAGCCCGAAATGCTAGTTCTACATCTAGCCCTTGCGAATGGTCAACCCGACCATTGTCCGATCAAACAATCGCCCACGAAAAACTTGCTGGTGCCCAGTAGAAAAACCACCGAGTCCGGGTGTTGGGAATGAACCGAAAGGGGCCGGGGATTCCCTTAGAGGAAGCCACATCGGGGATGGCTTTTCTCAGGGGCCATTCCATTTCTCAGGGCCCCTCACTAATTATCGCACCAAGCAATCGAGTTATTTCCCCCACCAAAGCCAAAAGGAACTCCGAGAAATGACCCCGGACTAACAAGCCACTGCTTCTTCATATGGGGGGTGTTCCTGGCTTTAGTGTTTTGTTTTTTTGTTTATATCATTCCATCTCTCAGGGCCCCCCCTATCGCAGCAAGAAAACGAGTGACTCCCCCAGGGGGCGGCTCTCCGGGCCCGAAGTTGATGTGAGCTTGCGCACCTGAACCTACCCATGGGTTCTTGGCACACCGGGCCCAGGAAACTCACCAAACGTAGCAACCAAAAGCTGAGGCTTAAGCCATGAGAAATGCATGGGGAAACCCCGCCATCGGGTTGACCAAAGCTGGGAAACCGCAAAACCGCTTGTCTTGGACAACAGACTTGGTTGTGGTTGGTGTAATTGTTTGGTGTGGAAATCCTGAATATAAAACCACGGCTGTGGAAAATCGGCTGGCGCCAAATACGGCAATCTCAGCAACTTCGTTTCCGAGTAGGTAACCCAGGGAACCACCAATTGAAGATCAAAAGGGACCTGGCCAGGGGGCAATGATGGTCCAAACCGTTTTACTTGGTTGCTGTTGACCCCTCTGCACTTGTTTTTAGCATTGGGTCCAATTCGGAAAATCTGACCTGTTTCAACCAAAAAGTTCAAGTCCAAGCATCCGTTACCAAACAGCCATAAAGTTTAGGGTTGATTCAAAAGACCCCCCCCCCTCAAACAGGGAACAAGGTCACCACTGACATGATTAGAGTTAGCCCCAAACAATATATATATATATATGTATATGGTTGTTTGCTTCGCTTTAACTTTGAGTCACTGGTAAAATGTAAACTTCCATTTGGTTAAGACCCCGGGGAAAAATGAACATTTTTCAGTAGTATATATTTTCTAAAGCGAGCAGGGGAAAAATATTCATCTCAGCAAATGGAAGCAACATGTATCCTAAGTCTACCCGAGCTGAGGTCCGGCTCGCCCTCAGAACACCCGCGGGATGCCTCGCCGATCTTGGCGCTGCTTTTCAGCCCGGCCTTCGGACCAACTCCGGCCATGGGGCCGGGACTCGTTCCCCCCCACCCCCCCCCTTTTTTCTTGAGGGCCCCCCCCCCTTTTGTTGGGAAACCAAAAGGAAGACCCACCATTTTGGGGGGGTCCTTTCAAAAAAACAACACACCAAGTTGGGAATGAAGTTTCATGGGACATGGGCGTCTGGACATCATTTAGCATGAAAGCC